CATCAGGATCGGCCCATATTCAGGCCAATATGGTAATACAGGCAGCAGAGAGCGACACTGATCGAATGCAATGAGTTCAAGGTCAAAAGCAAAGAAATGTTAAAATGTTTACTTTTACTTAAAAAAAAGTTAATATTCTACATTAACAAACCACTGTGGTCAATTTGCTTTATGCAGGTTATAATTGGACGTGTAAGGCATTAAATATTCATTACCAATGCATTGTTCAAGTCCCGACCACAGGCCATCATTACATGTCGCTTCACCCCACCACCCTTTAGTCACAAGCTTATAACCTTCCTCACAGGTGTAGTACAGTGTCTCATTGTATGGACCAACTATAAATCCATGTGGAACTTTGGGTTTTGGACATGCTGTATAAATTAAAGACAGAAAAAAAGTTACATCCAGAGAGCATCAATCAAAAGATGGAACAAGACATTCTTAGCCATGCTAGTGGTAAGGCTTGAGGGGGGACAGTGTTGGCCTGTTGATCCACCACTTTGTTGCAATATTTCAAAAACTATTGGATAGATTTTCATGTAATTTGACATTTGTGGTGCTCAGAAGAGAAATCCCAATGACTTTATTGAATCCTTGATTGTGCTACAGTGCCAGCAGCAGGTACAAGTTTGCACCCACTTAAAGGATTAACACTAAATTTTGCACAGACATTTAAAGTCCCGAGTAGATGAATCCTACTGACTTTGGTGAAGCTCTGTCTTCTCTTCTAGTGCCACCAATGGCTTTACATACTGTATGTGGTTTTTAGTGACTTGTCTCTAGAGCTATTGGATGGCTTAGTATGAAGTTTGATCCACACATTCATATCCTCCTCCAAAGGATAATTTGTAATCACTTTGGTGAACCCTTAACATTTGATCTTAGTGCCACCATCAGGTCAAAATTTAAATACGCCTACTCCAATACTTTGGTTCTTGACTGAATACCTGAGAACTAATGACCAAATGAATTCACATTAACCTTAACTGTACTTTGTTTGTAGTGTTAACCAATTGTTAGCAAGCTAACACGCTGACCTCAGATAGTTAATGTCACAAACATACCTGCAATACACCAGCATGTTATCATTGTCATTTTGAGCATGTTGGCATGCAAAACTAAAAAGACTAAGAAAACTGTTCTGATGAAGTGGAATTCCCTTTTTTGTCCTGTAGTTGAGAAAAAATTGGATTTGGACAAATATTTAGGAAGTGGATGGAATTAATGTATACTGATCCAGAGGCCACAGTATTAACCAGTGTGATTATGTCTTCTCTAATGAGGTTAAATTGTGGTGTATGGCAAGGATTGCCTTTATCCCCTTTAATTTTTGCCATACTTCTGGAACCCTTAGTTTTATTCTTACGAAATAATGTAAACACATGGGGAGTTCAGACAAGTGATGAAGAACACAAGCTTTTTCTCTATGCAGATGATGTTTTATCGATAACTAGTAACCCTGAATTTACAGCACCAGAATTTTAAACAATTATAAAGTCAAATTTTGAGATATTTAGATATGCAGTTAACTGGTTTAAATCAGAAGCCATACCACTATCGATTAATTGAATGATAGGAACACTGATAGCCAATCAAAATACATATGAATTCACAGACAAACTGTATTTCTTGTATGTTCTTACCTGTACAACTCTGAATCCCAGTCCAATTACCTTGGCTACAGACAACAGTAAAACGTCTTTTACTGTTGTTCCTGCATGCAAATTGGACTCGTTCATGGTGGTTGTAACTTATCTTCTCATTGCGTGTAATATATGCATTACTGATGTTGACTTTTTTACATGGTCTCTCTGAAAGAAATTCATTGAAATTGTGAAAAGTAATTTAACAGCAATACTTTCCTTTGAAGTATTCTGCATATATATATATATACACACATATATGCTAAACTGTAAATAACAAGTCACATTTCATTTTCAATTCGTGTGGAATTTGTTTAATTTATGTGTAATTTTTTTTCTGATTTCCAGTATCACTTTATGAATAAATCAGTTAAAATGATGCGAGAGTAGAATAATAAAATAATAAGATGCATCTGGTTAGACTAAGAACAGGTAAAAGATGCTTCCAAACCTCAAACCCCCACACCTTTTACTGTGTCATTGCTGTTCTTTAGAAAACCACTTTTTTCTCTAACATCACAGATTCTTTGTGGTTTTTACTCATAGTGATTAATTTTCCATAAATCGGAAGTCATTTAATTTGTTTTACGATGTCTGGAATAGATTAGGGTCTTTAAGCCCGCCAGGTTTGTCCTTTTGACTGTGTTATGTGTTGTATTGTCTTACCTGTACATTGTGGAGACCCAATCCAACCTTTTTGTCCACAGGTTAGAGAAAAACGTCCCTCATAACCATATTTGCAGACATACTCGACCCGGTCATTGTACCTGTATAATGACTGAGAGTTTCCATCAATGTCTGAATTTGTGAAATATTTTCTGTTGCATGTTACCTCTGAAAAAAAAGAAAGACTGGTAGTGACTGGTTACTGGCAAGTGGAGGCTGCATTTTGTTTTTGCAAAAGAGTCAGTAAATCAGATTCAGATAATTTAGTCATGTTAAATATTTAGTATTTCACCTAAGTAAAAGTAGATAGACTTTAATGTAAAAACAAAATGATCAAAAGTCTTCATTATATGGAACTGTCCATTTCAAAGCATATATGTATATGTATATCAAATCATGACAGAATGTTTTCCAGGATGATGTCACTACACTCCAACCTATTTCTGTACTAACCCATTTCCTAAAATATATTTTAAATACATGCATGTAAAACCAGAAATAAAAAGACAAAAAAAAGAGAAAATATGCCAACACTGCATTTTTTTTGTTTTTGCATTTCCTTACCTCTACATTGTGGATTTCCGTTCCAACCAGTTTCCCCACAGGTTAGATAAAAACGTCCTTCATAACCATCCTTGCAGAGATAATTGGCCCGCTCATGGTAACTGTATTTCTGCTTATTGTTCAAAATATCTGCATTCTGGACATCACGCCTGTTGCATGTAATTTCTGAAAAACAAAACAAAATTCTGTTTTACACTATTGTACACAGTTACTGCATTACTGTCAGCAGTACTGCACATGGAGCCTACATTTACTTCACTCTCGGTACATGTATAATCATGACATATTGTACATATACAGAAATCACTGTTGGCAATGTGGAGTCAATGGAGTTGTAAGCACAGACATCAAGAGACTGAGAGAATGCAGTTGAAAGTAGTAAGGACATCAATTGGGCCAGAGCCCCCCCGTCTGACATACAAATCTCAGCCCCCAATATGGACTCATATGTCTGTGGTGGCATTCATGACATGTCTGGGCATTAACCTTTGGGCAGTTGTTGTGTAGCCCCCAATGTATGGATATGAATGCGACATCACTTTGTAGTTCAGGATCATTGAGTATCCGGTAACGTGATACATAATGTGTGGATTTCATCTTTTGGTCTCCTGGGTCTAAAGGGCAGCATTACTTGTATGACTGGCCCCATCACAGATTAAAGATATAATGAAGTGACTGTAACTTCACAATACCTTGACAGAGTGGATTTGGTCTCCAGCCATCTCTGGTGCATGTGGCCCAGGTGGCGCCATCTGTGCTATTGTAGCCTGGTTTACACCAATAACTTACAGTCTCATCCAATGTTATATTTTGTCCCGAATAGACATCCCAGTAATACACATGTGGGTCTTTTCGATCACATGTAATTTCTAGAATAAAAGAGAGACTTGTTTATCTTAAGCAATAGAGATATTATTGGTTATCATCATCACGTGTTGACGAACCACCAAAAACAATCTCATAATGTGTCTATGGAGAGAGTCTGTCTGAAGCCCATGGAGGTAAATACCTCTGCATATTGGTGTGAAAGTCCACTCTCCATCATCTTTGCATGTAGCAACTGCTGAGGTGTTTTGAAGGACAGAAATCCAGTACCTGTCTCCACATGTTATTTTTACTACGTCATCAGGTGAAAACAGATTTCTGAAAGGAGGGTCATACCTGGTTCCTTCGAGTGGCGGCAGTGACAGTCTACATGTTATTGCTGCATTGTGAAATGAAACATATTTTCTGTTAGTTTGTTGTAATAAAGCAACCATGACATCCATCTACACAGCAGCAATTTTCGCCTGTAAGGGTAACATAACCAATGAATTTGGATTACTGAGTTTATACATACCTTCACATGCAGGTGTGGGGCTCCACTCTACTTTTATTCCTAGTTTTGTACACTTTGAAGGTCTATCCTCAGTGCGCTTGTATGTTGGATTGCACAAAAAATGCAGGATTTCGTTTTCATTGTACTCTTGGATATCTCCAGGCACATATCCATTTTCAATCACAGGCACCGGACATTTCACCTCTGTCCAAGAAAAATCCAACCATGACATTTGTGCATGAAAAGCCACATTAAGTAAACAGAGCTTAACCTGATTTGAGTGACCATGTGTTTGCAACATCCCCAGTTTGAGAGCAGCTGGCAACCTTTGTTGTTTTTTTTCCCTCATTTCCGGTCACATACTGTTGACTATCAAAAAACAAAAAAAATTAAATCCCTGAAACAAAGTAGGGTAGAGTTTGTATTGACAGTAAACAGTAGCAAAATCAATTCGTTTTTTTCATGTTTATATCACTTTAAAAAGGGCTAATTGTGGGTTAGAACCAGGTTCATTTTTAAAATAATTTTAGTGTCAGATTTTCTGCTTATCCCTACAAAAAACACTATTTTTTGTATTTGTCAATTCATATTTGGGAACTTGATGTTAACAGGGATTTTGCAAGGGTAGGTTACGTATAAATATGTACTAATTTTATGTTCAGTCTGGCTAGGAAGGGGGGTTCCTTAGAGGGAAAAACATAAGAGAATATGAGAAACATTTTGGTGGAATTGCTCTTTAACTCTTGTTTCAATGAAAAAAAAACCAAAGGAATGGGTGGCTGTGTGCTGGAATATTTCTGCCGGGCCCAGTGACTTCCTCACAGCAATCTCACAGTGAAAATAAAAAACTTGAAAATAAAACTCTGTGCCCCTTAGATAGACCCAGGCTATCCATTTTTTCCAAGCCATTTTTCTTTTCTAAGTTAAGCTTACTGTCTGATAGCTGTAACATCATATTGAATGGGCAGATGTGGGAGTGATATCAATCTGCTGATCTAATTATCATCAAGAAGGTAAATTAGTGTACTTGCTGACTGTGATTAGGGATATTGTAGAGTGTTGGAAAGAGCATTTTGTATGACTTTTCTGGACCAGACCGTCCCCCATATCCCTGGCAGATGTCACTGATGTTATCAAGACGCTCCTTGGCGGCAAGTCACCAGGTATGGATGAAATTTGCTATGAGTTGCTGAAGGCTCTGGACATTATTGGGCTGTCTTGGCTGACAAGTCTCTTCACTGTCATGTGGAGGTTTGGGGACGGGGCCTGTGGATTTTCTGAACAGGGGCTGGGAGTTGTGCTCTAATTATTGGGGCATCACACTGCTCAGCCACCCTGGGAAACTTCATTGGGTGCTGAAAAGGAGGCTCCGAACGATTGTCAAACCTCAGATTGAGGAGATTGCAGATTCTGTCCTGGCTATGAAACAGGGGAACAGCTCTTTACCCTTGCGGGGTCGTTGAGCAAGTCAATTTTTTAAATTATTATTTGGGACATTTTTTGTGCCTTTAATGGATAGAATCTGTAAAGACAGACAGGAAACACAGGAATAGAGACTAAGGGAATGGCATGGTACAAAGTCCAGCCGGCCAGGGAGTCGCTGTTCAGGGCATTTGAGCCCATATAGTATGCGCCCTAACCACTCAGCTATCTCAAAAACGTTCCTGAGTAGAGGGATGTCTGGAATACCCTGCGTAGCCAGCTGCCACAATAACCCAACCCCAGATAAGTGGAAGAAAATGGATGGATGACTCTCCACAAAGAGAGATTTTGTATCTCAAGTAGTCAGTGTGTGTCAGCTGTCTGCTCTAGACAGAACATTTTGTCATAGCTCATACCCCAAAGGAAACTGACCTTAATTATTTTGTTTTCCCCTTCACAGGCAAAGGCAAACTGAGACAATCTTTTTCAGCCTACCACATGGGAGGACAAGGGAGGACACGGTATGTAGGTAGGAGGTACCTCACCATTTTTCTTTTGCACCTCCTTGGCATTTGAAAGAGTTCAACAGGTTTTCTCTGTAATGATCTGACAAGCAACTTTAACCCTGCCATTCCAGATAAATCAGATATTGACAAACACTGAAAATGCTTGTTCATATCAGTTTGCATCTAAAGAAAGTGATATTTTCTCACCTGTGTCAGATTTTATTAATTTAAAAATGATTTAGCAAAATCAGTTGTATGATGTATGATTGTTGTTTTCTAACTGCAGTTCAACCACAGAGAAACCGGACTTGTAATCTGAAAATTCTTACCATTCTGCTGTAAAGATTCATCCACGTTCAGCCACAGGATAAAAAGCCAAAGACGGTGAAAGAGTTTCATTGTGAACACCCAGGAATTGCAGTATTCAGGAATTACCCAAGGAGGTATAACTTTTCTCCTTGTACAGATCAGATTGAAGTATTTCCACAATGAAAACAGTCTAAGGAAAAATGGGCGACTCTCCCAAAACCCTCCCTTCACCTCCCTCTCACACACATATTTTGCAAGACACACTCATATAAACCTGCTTTGCAATTAATTTTAGCATTCAAACATGGATTTACTCGCAGGTTTAGTGTTAAAAAGTAAAATATGTAGTTGTAATTTACTCTTGTAATATTGTGCATATAATTACAGGATTCTGCTAAAGATAATGGTCACATAGTACTTTCAAAGCAAAGTAAATGCCAGCAGAAGAAGCTTTAACAACACTTAGACACCGCTCCAGAGATTTTTATGAGTTAAAGAAAAGAATAATCACATTTAACATTCAAGAAGTGTATTGCTGAACAGACACACACCTACAGTGATACCAGTTGTTATACTTTAAATGTTGCATCTGAGTCGCTAAAGTCTGACACTGCTATGGTCTCAGATCGTTTGAAATGTCACGCTATTAAATTTAGAGAGTCATACTAAGCCATGCTCCTCTGGATGATGTTTTTCTGTATTCTGTCATTCATTCATTCATTGTTTCCTGTTTTATTTTGATATACCCTGACCTTGTTTTAGTCGTCCCTCTGCCAGATTCGTCTGCCTTTTATTCTGACTGATTAGCAAACCTTTTGTGGCAAGTAAATTCTATTTTATCAATCAAGTTCCCAATTCTGAGTCATACTATTGAGTTATTTTGCCTGTGGTTTCTTCAGTCGTTACACAAAATACCTGTTTAATAAGCCGGATCAGCTGTACATATGTAAGCACTTGGTGTATATACTGTACATAGGTGGATTACTCTGGGTCCCAATCACCTGGACATCATTGTTCACATGAATCATTGGGGGCATTGTTGGGCTGAAAGGAAAAGACATGTTTGTTCATGATGGTACATGCAATGTAAAAAATTTCTCATGCATCCCGAGGGAAGTTGGTGACATGGAATCTAAGCATTTCCTTTAATTTGCCACTTGGCTAAATATAGTTTGCTCATACAGTATGATCTCCTTATTCATTAAAATTGCATCAGATGATTGGTAATAGTGCTTGTCTTTCTTATTGAATCTGGTTAATCATTAACATGTTTGTCCAACCAGCTCATGTCCATCACTTCCAGTCAGCTAAAGTTTTCACTGGCAAGAGAGCGGGGTCATCGCCCCATCAAAACACCCACTCCCTGTACCAGTGGCTCTTCCTTTGGTATGCTTAACCTCAAGTTCATTACTATACTACTATAGACAGGGACTTTAGGTCTGAATGACAAAGCTGTCACTTTAACAGCTTCATCAAGCTGTACTTTCTCTCTGAAAAGGACTTAAACTGTATTTTACAATTCTGGTTTAAAAGACTATTAGATCACAGCAAGAAGGTTCCGGGTTCGAGGATCTTTCTGTGTGGAGTTTGCATGTTCTCCCCGTGCCTGTGTGGGTTCTCTCCGGGTACTCCGGCTTCCTCCCACAGTCCAAAGACATGCAAATGGGGACTAGGCTGATTGGATCCTCTAAATTGACCGTAGGTGTGGCTGTGAGTGTGAATGGTTCTGTCTCTATGTGTTTGCCCTGCGATGGCCTGGCGACCTGTCCAGGGTGTACCCCGCCTCTCGCCCGAAAAGATGCTGGGATAGCCTCCAGCCCCCCGCGACCCTACTAGAGGATAAGCGGAAGAAAATGGATGGATGGAAGACTATTAGAACTAAGAAGGAACAGCAGGTTATCACTTTGTCATTATATCACCATTTGGAAGTAACGCAGGGTGGCAGCTGGGAATTTCTCTCCCAGAAAGTGAGTTGAGTCAGTCAGAAATCTCAGCAGGTCACCAAGTACCTGTTGTTACTGCCTGATAAATGTCACCTCCCCATCATATTAATATATTATACATGCTGTACATAATTTATTTTCCATATTGTTCTGTCACAGATAGTCAAATGTTGGATTTTGGTGTACCAGATAACAGGGAAAATTACATTGCACTGAGCAAAGGTTTCACTGTGCTGAATGACTGGCTGACAATAAACACAAAGCAGTGTTTAATCTACTTAACCAGATGTTTAAAAGGCAACATGTACATGTTTTCTGTCATAATACATGTATCTGACAGTGGAAGAAGTAAATAGACTGAGTGAATATTTGATAACAGGTCAAACTATTTACTCTTGTTAATCATTTACATGTTTGTTCTGCCTTCTCATGATTTCCAGTTACTGGCAACTGGGCAGGGCAACCACACCATCATTACACCACTGACACATTCCCACTGTGCCGACAGCTCTTCCTCTGGCACACACGAACTCGATCATTATGGGTCACATACAGAGTGAGTAAACATATATGATTTATTACAGTAAAAAGACCAAACACAGCACTTAAGTATAGACACTGGATCAGCACATGACTTTAGTCTGGTTAATCATATACATGTTTGTCCAAACAGCTCATGTTTATCACATCAGGTTGACTAAAAAGCTTTACTGGCAAGATGGCAGGTCAATCACACCATCACGACACAACTGACGCATTGCCACTGTGCGGACAGGTCTTCCTCTGGCACACATGAACTCCATTTCATCACCATGGGTTGAATACTTCTTATTGTCATAACTAAATCTGAATCTAATATTACGGTTGTTCATGGCTTCGCTATCCACAGTGCAGGGTTCTGCAAAAGATAACAGATACAAAGCATTTCCTTGATGTCAGGAATGACTGCACAGCACACTACATATATAATTATTGCTAGTCTCCGTTTAAAAAATATATATTTAATAATGAAATCAATAAAAAAAAGTCAATGCACAGTTTACATGTAACTTAAACATGATTTAAAGATAGTCACTCACACCAAATCATGTACACTTCTACTTAGGTCAAACACTGAGATAGTGGTCAGCTTACTGTTATTCTATTTCCCTGAGCTTTACCTTAAACTACCTTAAGCAGCAGTGTAGGCTACCGGTTGTTTTCTGCATCATGATTGGATTTGGCCACTGCCTCTGCGAGATATTGGTTCATCAAAGTTGACATTTTTTAATTAAATATTGCAGATGGGGAAAAATCACTGCGTAGATTTATACTTAGCTAAGGCTAGCCGTGGCCGTTCACTTGATAGACTAGTTGCCTGTCTTTCTGTGTTGATTTTACATGCTGTCTCACGGAAATGATCCATTTCTTTCTCTTTGTAAGGTAACACAGCTGCTGAAAAGTCAGTGAAGTTTATTTAATGCGTTTGGCTTTGCAGAGCTGTTGCCTCTTTCTTATTCTTTAGTGCCTCTCTACTTTTATGATGAAATGTCTAGTGACTGCAATGTGTAATGGCACTGTGTAAGTAACATGTTAACATTAATCTTGCAAACACCGGAATCCAAAATGAGTGTTATCTATGGAAAACCCTCACAGAATGCAAAGTGGATTAAAACTTACTGAGGCATCTCATCTGTCCAGTCCATTCACCATTGTTGCATGTTCGGAAGGGGTAACCATCCATAATGTGGTAATTCTGGCAGACGTATTCAACCCGTTCATTGTTTCTGTACTGGTTCCGTTGAGATTCCTTGAGGTCTCCATTGTCAAGAGGTGGTGGTCTCCCACAATCAAAATGAGCTAAAAGAATGTGGGCATAGACAGAGAGTACAAGTTTATCCATTATCAATCGCTGTCGATCCGATCAATAAAGTAAGGGGAGCAGAGCTCGACCCCATCACCTAAAAATTCATCTATACAGTACTCATTTTTCCCCCAACAATTATTATATTGTTGCGAGAAACATAATCACTCCCTGGATCATGTTCATCTTAATGCTTCCATTTCCTAAACATATATCAATAAAGTTTCTTAGTGCTTTAATTGTAAAGAGCAGATATTGTATTGCAATATCCAGATGTGGTGTGACAACATTCCAGTTTCACAGTGATCTGCGTGAATTGTCATACATTTATTCTTATCCACATGAAATATGCAAACACAAGTTGTATGTTAATGGCAGGTGAAAATGTGATCTAAGTCACAGTTGTTTTTATGAAACCTCAAACACACATATAAAAGATTATAATATAGAAAACAACTCTAAACACAAAGATAACATGCATCAAATTTGCATCTTCTCACAAATAACTTAACAGACCACCACATCTTACATAACATAACAGTTTCAGCATGAATCAGTAAAACAGCATGAACCCGTGAAATGCAGGGTAAACAGCCAATCAAACCCTCTGAGATGGCAATGCAGTGCCTCTTTACTCATCATTTCCGCAAATAAATAGCAAGAGGACACAAAAAAATTGACTTACCTCCACATGTTGGAAAAGGATGACTCCACTGTCCATTTGCTAAACATTCAACTTCTGCTGTCCCACGAAGAGTCTGACCACGCAGGGGGCAATAAAATCTTAACTTTTGTCCTTCTGTTAGTTGATCACCTACTCCATGCATGCTGAGGCGTATGTTGGGTGGTAAGCCTGTGACTTCGCAGCCTCCTGTTTAGAAGAAGAGAATCTGTCTTAACAACAGCTTTATATAGTATAGACACTTGGAAGTTTTTGGGAGTTTTTGGGTTTCATGAAGTCAAAGCTATGTCCAAAATCTATTACATGGAAGATATATTTGCATACAGAGGTACTTTCTTTTCATTAATTAGGCTATTATCAATATTTGATATCAACAATGGATCACATGACTGCGTGTATGTGAAAAGGTACATGATGATTGTGTTTTGTGTTTTCTCTGTTTATTTTTGCTGGGAGATGCCGAATCACTAGATCACGTGATGCAGCCACGAGGCGAGAGACGCGCAGTGCAGTGTGTCCGCTCCAACCCGTTAATATGGGCGCTGAAATCAAAACCAAAACTTTCTGTGGCCACAACTCACATGAGACACATCCAGTGTGTTCCTGGCCTTAGCAGGTAAAGAACTAAATATCTTTTTGACCTGGTGGAGACCAGAACAGTTCTAAAAGAGAGTGAATGTTGGACTGTCATTTACCAGGTGGTTAGAAATGAATGATTCCAAATGAATGATAATGTTGATCTGTGTTTGCTAACAAGTTTGCCATATCAACAGGTGATAATCAGTGTCAGTGTTGTGTTCACAGCCGGTTTTCACTGCCCTCAGTTGGCCAATACAATCATTAATTGCAGATTTAATTTCACACAGTTTCAGTAATAATTGCTGCAAAACATTAACCCACAGCCATTGCAATGACAACACAAAATCTATCGATATGATTGTTACATGCTCTCCAAAAAAAAAAAGAAAGGCTTTTTATATGGAGATTTTTTACACTGTCAAATTGATCTTTACCTATGCATGAAGGGAATGGATTATCCCATTGTCCATCTTGACCACATGTCAGCACTGAACTGCCATTCAGATATTTCCCTGGACCGTCACAGCTGAACATGAGGACATGATCAGGAAGTATTGGATCATCATTCTGTGGTAACCCATTTACTGTAACCCCTCCGTCTGTAGGTGGGCGGTCACAGCTTGAAGCTGAAGCTAAACACAGGCATTAAACGATTCAATGAAAAAGCTGAACAAGGCAAAATTTTGATGTGTAAGTAGCCTACACCCATTATATCAGTTGCAACACTGGAAAGAGCTCACAATTTAGAACACCTGGACTCTAGCTGTTATTCAAATTTACATAATTTAATGTTTCAGTGTTTCTGAAATTAAAGCATAGAACAAATAATCAATTTCAAATTCTTAAAATTTTAAAAACACGAATCATAGAATCTTTTTGTTGAATTAAATTTCATCTAAATGTTTTCACTCATTCAGCAGTCAAACGCACTTCTGATATTATCTCTAAAATGCATTATCCAATGCTGTAACGGAGGAAGGGGAGATCGTGACCCTATTTCCTGCAACTTGGCTGGTTGGACGAGGCATAGAACCAGAAGGAGGCAATTCTAGTCTTCTAATGTTTCGGGTCATTATCTTGCTGTAGGATGAACCCCTGACCAACCAGACGGTCTCCCTTTATTTATCTTTTTCTCACAATTCAGATAACAACATACAGTACTACCTTCCACAGACAGAGGGTTTGTAAGTCAGCGACAACAACAATTAACTTTCAAGGTTTCATTTGCTTCCATTGCTGCAGGAGGCTGTAAATCAGTCAGTTTCTTAAGTCCTAAAAACAGACTGTTCTTGATAACCAAACATGTTTTTTTTTCTTCCATTTTTTTTTAATTTACCGCTTAACGTTGTACCATTTATAAGGTTATAATTATATTTTTCATTATATCATTGTTTATTATTTATTTATTATTTTTTAGTATTTTCATAGTTTTCAGACATTTAATGTGTACAAGAGATTATACTGAAATTAAAAACGTGTCCAAAAACAATGTCCTTAAGACGGCAGAACAAGATACACATTGTGACTGGGGCTTTTTTAAATGATGAACAAACACTTTTTTTATGAAAGAAAATTTGCCATCTCGGTTACATAATGAAGGACACAAAGAGTTTCTCCCCTACAGAGTCTAAAATGGAAATGGATCTTTTAAAGATATTATTAATTGTACACTATACAGTTTACATGTTTTGTAACATAGTTATTGCAATCCTCTTAACGTGATTTAATAAAACCAAGAAGTAAAACAACAGTAATCATTCAGTTGCTGACTGAAGTTGCAGAACTGAAAGCCGTTCAACTTACAGGAGCACTTTCCCCGACGGACTGCCAGCCAGCCTTCGCTTGAGCATACATATTTGATGGTTGGACTTGATGTATATCCAGTTTCACAAGTGAAATGTATCACGTCTCCCTCTTGGTACTCAGATTTTTTGGTCTCTTCTGAAACATGGGCGTGGGGTACATCTGGAAGCGTTGAACATGCTAAAAGACAACGACATGGCAACAAGGAAAAAGAATACAAGCTGTTTTGTGGAGATGAGCTGGCATACATCCTTTGCTATAAAAGGGATGTCAAGAAAAAAACATTTGCTTATAGATTTATTTTTTAGGCTCATGAAAACAAATGGATAAATAAGCCACTTAAACTACATGTCAAGAAAGTCCTGTAGTACTACAGCATCATGGAAGTAGAGGACTAGGCCTTTATTTGGGAGCCCTTCAGTGCTTCACTTTTTAAAGTCCACTTCTACAGACACCAAAGAGCCTGGTTATAGTTTGTGATCCGGTCTAAATTTTTCTTTTTACTTAACCAACAGACCTTTGTCCTTCATTTGAGCAAAGATCCATGGACACACAGTCACACTGAGACAGCCAACCTGGGCCCCTTAAAACAAACGAGTTCACTAACCACTGCATCCACCTTTAATCAACTTTGGATAACAAAATTCTATATACAGACCCTCAGAAGTGCTTCAGGTACTCATTATATGCCCAAACTATCCAAGACAACTTCATGGCAAGGACAGGTGCGAAATGCTTGGTAAAAGGTCTTACCTCTCCATGTTTGTGGTTACTAGAGAGGAAAACTTGCCCTCCCTCCTTTAGGCTTCTTTGGGGTTTTGTGTCGGCTGTGGAATCTCTTTCAGTGGATGCGATGCTACATCTGGTCCACCTACTTCAGTCTTTGTACATTGATCTTTTTTCAGTATGGTATGGTAGGACTGGCAGTTCTTTCTAATGAAGGTTTGGACCTCAAAGGGAAAATCAGTTTGATGGTTCCAGCAGAGGACAGGGGGAGGGACCATAACTCTGGACATGTTCTGGTCCCCAGGAAGACAGGTAACATGAGACCTGTCCTGAATCTTTACCTACTAAATGCTTCAATGGCCTGCCCTGGACTGTGCTTATTACCACTGGAAACATCATGGTAAACTAGACTGTGTATGCTTGGCACCATTAAGGAGAAACCTAGTGGCTGGCTAATAAACAACAGGACCCACAGTAGGCTATGTAGATGTCTGCTTGACTTATTGTGACACCACCTGATGCCATTACGCCATTGGCTGTTCTGTTGTTGGTCCAAATGGCAGTGACAGCATGCTAAACAAGGTATAGCCCAGATGTTCTTCCTATTGGCCACATCCTCCAGCTCTTCCTGTGGGAAACTGAGGTCTCCCCAGCCTAGATGGAATATCCAACCCATATATTCTGGGTCCCTTTCACAGTTTCTTCCCAACTGGGAAGAACACTCCGAAAGGGAGGCAGAATCAGATGACCTAACCACCTCACCTGACACCTGCCGACATGAAACTGAATGGAACCAAGCTGCTGCCTCAAACCTCAAACACACATTAGTATTATCATCTGACCTGGATGTCTGAGCACAAGAATAGGACCATGATGCTTTCTGAGGACCTACAGTAAAAGAGAGGTATTTATCGGCATTCAGTACGTACTGTTATTAGTTATTTGCCCAATTAAGGTCGATTAATTACTTAGTAGAAGAACAGATGTGATTGTTATAACTCTGAGCTTCATCCTTTCCCATTAATTCTTTGACTTGAGGCATTGTGAGGGTGCTTTCGGGCAGTTGTAGCTTAGTTGGTGCAGGGGGTCGGCCACTACTGGCAAGGTTGGTGGTTTGTCTTCATCTTTAAGAGTTCTTGACACTGAACCCCAAAATACTCCTATTGCATGTGTATTACATAAACTCCTGAATATAATCTGAATGTGTAATGTGAATGTTCAGTTTTAGTGTAATTACACAATATGGGATTGCGCAATAAAATGCAGGTTAGCACCCATACAGAAATGTAATGTATGACATGTATGTCCCTATATCAAGAGTGATGTTGTCCAATATGTCACCTATATTAATATCGCATATACACATCCTCTGGATATATGATTATATGTTTACAACATATATGAAATACCCATAGTAAAATTTGTACATATTTAGAAAATATAACTATGATGAATTCTTACATGGAATAATGTTTTCCAGCCATATATGTTTAAGATATATATTTAATTGATTATACACAAGTTTACAAAAAAAAACTTCTATATGCTTATGTTTTTCTTATTAATTTTAATGTTTCCATTCTAGGAAAGTGGTCTCAGACTTTTGGACCCTACTGTATATAAACTCAACATATAACAGGCTTTATAAATAGATATATATTTATGTAACATTTGTCTGCAACATTAGTCTGGGACCCATGTTAAGAGGGTGATTTCAGTGTATGGATCCACTAAGATAAAATCACATTGCAATCCCTCTGCATAATTTATTACACCTGGATGGTAAAACCAGTTGTCATTTAATCAATGGTGAAAGAGTAGGGCAGAAAGCCAAATAACTCACAGTAGCATTTTCCCTGACTGACTGTCAGCCAGCCGTCACTCGTGCATACGTATTTGGAGGCTTGAGCTGATGTATAACCAGATTCACAAGTGAAGCCGATCACGTCTCCTTCTTTGTAGTCGATGTTGGCATGAGGAACATCTGGGAGCTTTGAACATGCTAACAGACAAAAAACATGACAGCATGAGAAAAGTTCCAAGATCTTAAATTGTTTTGTTTTTTTATTAACTGTTTGCCTCATATGCAGATGGAAAGGGAGCTGAACACAGAACACATCTGTAAAATTACAGGATGTCCGCAATACTGAATGGCTCCCAAAATAATTATAAAGACTGGAAACAATCGTTTGATTGCATGATCTTCATCCGGTACATGATTTTTATGATACACTATCTTCTTCACAAGCTAATTAAACCAGCTTGTATGTTTAAATGTTGAGGTGCATTTGTAATATACATTAATCCAGAAAAAATCCTCATGCATAAAGCTTGACAAAGCATCATGAAGTCATTACAACAATGTGAGCTCATATGGTCTCTCATTATGCCAGTATAAAGAAATATTAGATTGGAAATAATAGATTAAAAAAAATGAGAAGTAAAAGTAGAAGTAAATTTACATATGTATTTTCCGAATTTTTTTTAGCCTAATTAACATCAATCAAGAGCAAAAAAAAAGGTATGTTTTCACATATCACATGAACTGGCCTGTGTCCAAACTGCAGTACTTAATAAATAAGAATTTTCATCAGGAGCCATTAAGTGTGGCAACAATCCTTTACTTTTTATCCTGCACAAGAGACAATTTTTGGAGGTATGTGGTTGTAATTCTTCTATAGTAAGGAAATACTACTCGATATAATATTGTATAATACTATATATACACACACACACACACACACACACACACACATACAGTATCATCCTTTAACCTAAATCATAAGACCTCAGTATTAAAAAAAAAAAAAATCCTTCTTACCATTCTGTGACAAAGACACTTCCATGTTCCCCCACAGGTGGAGAAACAAAAGGAGAAAAGACAAGTTCATGTTCCTTTGACAAATGTTGAGAGCAGAAATCCTGCGTGTTTGTCCCCTGCTTGAGTGGCATGGATTACTGACTGTCTAAACATGGACTGTTCTGGGCAGGATTGTACGACACATGTTGCACAACAAACCAACACGCGCTGCTTGCAATACTGGAAGTTGCAGAATTTCTTACATACAGCACCTTTTGTGTACTCACATTCAATTTA